AGTATAGTGACTCTTTAGTCGTTTTGTTTGTCCGCGCAGATCTCGACTGGATGGGTCGTCTGGATTATATACTGAAAACTTGGATGGAAATGAAACTGGACGAGCGCGCAAGGGCTCACTGGTTCTTCCGGGGTTTTTGATTGCGAAGATGTCTGCTAAACTGAGCGAATCCAAGCAGGAAGTGTCTTGTTCTGACTGGGTCTCTCGGTGGATGATAGAAGACTACTCCACTTCAGTCACCACAGTCTGCCGGGGTAGTAAACTCGCTTGCGTTTGCAGCAGATGAAGATCCCCACTAACCCAACAAGTTGTAATCTTACTAGGTTTTGACCAAATTATTATTTTTTTTAATGTCAAGACGCATTTGGAATTACACGTAAAAGCTTTAAGTTTAAAATTAAGTATAATAAACAATGGTATTTTTTATTTAATACATGTACAACTTAAAAAAAATGGTATAAAAAAATAAAAATAATAATCTAAAGTTTCTGGTACAAGTCATGTATTTATATGTAAAATCCAGAGCTTCGCCGTGCTAGCACGGCATTAGTAAACAACGTACTTCGAAGTAACTGATAGCCTACACTTATGTATAACACTGTGCAACAAATTCAATATGAATTCCAACTGTGAAAACAGTCGTAACGCCCAGAAATGATTCTCCATCAATTAATACGGCGGGATATGATGCAAATTATGGATTTCGAATTGCTCAATACAAAATCCAAATACAACATTACATTTTCTGCCATAAATAATAGTACGGGACTTGTAATTTTTCTAAAGTTATCATGCAAAATACGGGTTTGAAGTGCGGAATAATTATTGTACTGGCCATAATAGGTGATACCAAAAATTGCCACATTCTGATGGTCAAATATCGACCAGCAAATCAATGATGGTCCATATCGCTGTTGAAACACCATCGAAAGTAGTAAACGTGTAATAGAACTTACTGGACCTACAGAGACACGTTTTGGCAATCTACAGCACTAAAAATTGCAGCATTTGGAGCAGTACTTCGCCCAGGACAAACTCGAGTTCATGAGTATATCCTAGCTGAAGCACCTAAACGATATGTTTCAAATGCACTGTGAAATCAAATTAAATGCATGTGGCTTAGTTCTTACTAACAAGCTTACAGTCAGCCTCTATCTTCCGACAGGATTCTGTCTAAGTGTCTCTGTTAGGGTACAATCGCAATAGCGTGCTCCAGCTCGTCAATAAGGACAAGCTGTTTTTGCGGATGTTTTGACATTTGATCCAATAGAGTACGCGTAATTTGGAGCTTACTCTAATTGGACCCTTTCCCCAAATTTCGTGCCGTTGAGGTGCATGTATTCTAGGAGCAAAATCAGGTATTAGGAGTCCGAATTCGGCAAATCTGACCGCAAATTCGGACTACGGCGAAGTTACCCCTTGTCTCTAACTTTCGTATATTAAAAAAATTATCATATTCTAGGGGTAATTTGGTCGTGAAATTTGGTATCAACTTTTATGACCTATACAAAAGCTCCTGTTCTATAGCACAATTTTGAGGGGCAGTCTTCAAAACTGTTCGATTTGGCCTAAAACACTGTAAATCTAGGCTAACCACTGAGGATTAGGTTGGGCGCTTCCACTGTGTGAGCCGGGTTAAAACACTGTAGGATAGACCTAAAACACTGAAAGCCTGTCATCGAGGAATGCAAGTGTCTTGATATATAATGCGACGTCAATACTCCTTCTCGTGATTAGTACCTACGACGCTTTGTATGCTCACATGACTGGCGGAGTGTCAAAGAAGGCGGACTACGTGAAGTCCTACAATGCATGGCTAAATTGTCTGGATCGGGAACGTCGTTGGATAAAGTGCGATATGGTGCTGACCTTGGACGCTCGAGTCGTATACAATGCGATTCTACAGCTTGCATACGTTGTACAGGAACATTTTCAAAGTCCAGAACGCTTGGACAGCGTACAGATACAGGAGTATCTGAGAAACTGACGCTTTGTAGATGACTTAAAGCGATTGAGGAAGAAGGGCGAACAGTCGAACTTCTTTGACGCTTGTCACGCGATTGAAACCGGCCGGCTGGGGTTTTAAACCCAGGACAAGGGAGTCCTAGTATTTTTGTTGCTTCGATAATATGAGGGCATAGATTGTACTTGCTGTGGAAGCGACATTTACACGCCCTAGTCGTCACATCGACTACCCACCCGTCCTCCGGCATGCCCTCCCACTGCATGCGCAGCGTGTGTGAAGACTTAATAGGCTGATTAGCGTCATCGGCATCGAATTTAGGTTTCTTCTTTTTCTTTGGCGGCTTTGTCTTTCTTAAAGTTGATACGTTGTGAGTTGGCAATACCATCAGTCGAATAGCAGTAGCAACACTCGTTTCGGGAATGGATTGCTTCACTCACACGAATTGAGTTCGTAGATCTCCAACGAGAAGAAGCACAGTTGCACTTAGATCGCCTCGTTTCTTAATTTTGTTGTAGTGTGCTTTTAATCGCTTTGATGCTTGCGTAATACTCGAGAAATTTGTAGTTTTCGCTATAAAACCAATGCTCGATTGATCGAAGAGTTGCACCATTTCAATTGGCGTAGCGCGAGCCGTACTATTCACCAATTTAACCTTCCGGTGGTATTGCTCCACGGGGTTGTTAGTTGTAGCGTAACCTGGAGGTGTGTGGAATGCTTGTTATTTGAAGAAGCGAGGGTTGTCGAACCACTGGCGGCGAATCTTCTTAGCAACAGCTCGAAAACGAGCAGAGGTCTCGCCAATAGTCTTCCAAGTATTCACGATATTTGCATTCTTCAGGTCAAACTCGTTCACTGATCTGCAGAAGTGAAGGTCCTTCAAATCACTAAATATTCGATTTCGCTGCTGTTTGGGTAGTTTTCGGGATTTTTTTCCCACTCGTTCTGACAAACGTGAAACCAGCCCACAAGAATCGTGGTGGTGGATAACTCACAGGTGCATGCATTGTACTGACTATTGTCAGCGTCAGTCATCATGTATTGCGGTGAAAATCTACTTCCAAAAAGCTGGAGCATCACGCGTATTAGGTACGATAGGCACCAAGCAACATCTTCAGCCCTCCTTTGCGATGTACAGTAATACACCAGTGGGAAGAAATATCCACAGCAGTCCGAATATCAAAGGATAAATACGCTATAACGTTGTCGTACCAAGTTGTGTGTGCTATCTACGTGAAGATTAGTGATGCAGCGAGGATCTTCCTGCACTATAGCATACGTTTCCGGCAGTGAATATCACGTGAGTCCCATTCAAAAAGGTGATTCATCAGATGCATTTCCAATGTTTGGAACGAGGTTAACATTTTCGTAAATAGAGTCGCAATACACGAGTAATCCATGTCTGTCTTGGGCCGGTTGATGGCTCAATTCGAACATTGATCGTGCACAAATTTCAACAACCGGTAGCATACAGTCATCTCGATGTTTTGCTCGCCAACGCTTCATGTATCCTTGTACTTGTGTCTCAAGCAGTGGTGGCCCACGCAACCGGGAACACAACCGGGTAAACACGACATGGGGAGTCACACCATAATACATCGTAATTTCATTCTGTACAAAGAATTTCATCTCTGCTGTCGGTTTTGCCACTCGCGGGAACTTTCGGCTGCGTCCAACATTGAGTGTTGTCCGTCTTGATATACGATCAAAATATCGCTTAGGTCGCAAGTATTGATTTTGTAGCGACATTTACAAGTTCCAACAAGAGCACAACGGGCAGAGGTACATTTGGTCAGGACTGTGCGCATCATGTGTCATTCCTGAAGTACCATGTTGTCACCGAGAGCGGTATGGTGCATTGTATACGGGTAACAGTCATTTTTCACTGTAGCTCGACTAGGTAAGCTTGCCATAAATCCTTCTAGCGTGCCTCCAGTGGATTGACTTGACCACCAAATGAGCTGCCAGGTAGGTCGAAATCTGGAAGGTTGCCCCGTCGAGATCGCGCTTTCACTTGACTGCATTACAAGGTATTAGCCGTATTATTTGTCTAAATAGGTGTGGGATATGGTACCTCCGAGTCGTTCGAACTATCGTCCGACGAACTTATACTTTCATCAGAGCTTGGGCGACTACTTGAGCTGGCCATGTCCCCTATGCATGCTACTGTCGCCAAACTATGCAGCCGTTGTAGGTTTCCTGTAGCGAATTCGAAAATAACATATTTCAGACAGCACGAGAAGTCGTCGTCGGGTTCATCGACAACGGCTTTGGCTGTTGGAAAACGGATCCTATTCTTTTTATGTGTCGGCGTACTTCGGTGCTACAAGCCCATTTTATCAATGTTTTCGACCCTCCTACCCCTTCAGTGGAAGCGGCCAGTGGCTCGGTGGTGAAAACCTCTGGTCAGTGTTTTAGGCTGTCACTCCACAAGTTTTCTCTTGTGGTGTTCGAGCGCTAGCTTTAATAAGGGTGTAGTGAAGCTTGAACATTTGAATCATCACAACCAGTTATCAACTTTGAAATACAGACGATCCCCTCGGTAGTAATGCATAGGCTTGGAATACTCCCTCAACAGCAATAAATTAGTGGTTCCCATTGACCAGTTGCAGACAAACCTAAGATATTATTTTCTTGCACCACTCAGTTGTAAAATGGAAAGCATGTGAAGCCAACTACTCCTAGTCTGTGTGTTTAACTATGAGAACAGTCATAACTACACAAGAGCATTATTGCTACCACGTCCGATCCGAATGTTGAACCGATGAAGCCTATTCTTTTGACTACTTTGGACGTTACTCGAGCTTTTGGATCACGGAGAAGCGCTACACTCTAATTGCCTTATCCGTAACGGTGACACCCTTCTCTTTACACCAGGAAACCCAACTGGTAAGGAACTAGTCGAGTATATGATGGCGCACCGCGTGCCGTAGCTTTGTGGCCAACTGAGACCGGAAGTGAATCCAGAGCTTTCTGCGCATCAATAGCTTCCATATCGTTGCTTGTGATGAACCAGATGAAGACCATAGATTCTGGGAGCCCATGAATCTAGCTCTGTTTGGGACAAAGTAGGGATGTGAACATGGTGCTAGCATATTTGTACAGCTGCCATTGAGTGTTGATCAGTGCGAGGTGGACAGGTAGGGCTAGAGAGGAGGGTGTCTTGGTGAGGCGAGGCAAAACTGGCAATAGAAGAGCAAACCAGGGTAAATCGCCAGTGACGAGCTGTTTCCATTAGTAATTTTTGCGCAGTGTTCCAAGCTTAAGGTACTCGGATCCAATTTTGTGGTACATGCAGGGATAGGAATACCCTAGACAGGAATAAATTGACAACGCTATGACTACCGAGGGGATCGCCTGTTCGACGCGATTTTTTTTCATGTTGAGTTAACGAAGGAGTTGGCAATACGACGCCATTATTATATGTACAAGAACTTAAAGAGTTAAGATGATACCACCGATATCCTCAACATAAAAAAGAAAATGACTTCTTCTTCTCCGTCTTTAATCCTCTGTGATTCTGTACTATACCTGCGAATACACTTACTACGGCATCGTTGGCGGTATAGGTATGGAGTACTTTTCTGCCAGCGTGTTTAACAGTTGGCACCGTTTGAGATCTCGACAGTACAGGTGATGTCCATTATCCAGTACTAGTGTACTAGATTTTGAAATTTTGGCAAATTAATTCACCTTGAGTGGTGCCAAATACAGTATAGCTGCATTAAATTCGCACCAATGAAAACAAAACAGCGTGCAGATGAGGAATCAAATGAGTCAACTACAGTCAGTGTTCTTTTTTTTTTAATGGAAAACCTTTCACTTTATCCAGAATACTGTACGGTATCATGAATCACCTCACGCTTGTACCTCAAGTTAGTGTATCTTAAACGTCGGTGCAGACTGTGGCATTACCTTAAACGAGGCGGACTCAGCTAGTAGCAACTATCTAATATATACCCCCCCCCCCCCCCCAATGTTGTACTGCCCAAGACCGCATTGTATATTTCCTGGCTCTGTTCTGGACTTGAGGGGTCTACCACTCTGCAATATCAGCAATTCTAATATATATGTTTTGGATG